TATTCTGTTGATATCAAAGGTTATTTGTTGTATTACGGTTTGATATTTGTCTGCTGTAGAAGACATGGAACTGGTAAGAAAACTTTATAACTAGATGTAAGAAGACTTTATAACTGGATATTTCTGGACTATTAAAAACGTGTATGACATGGACTGTTTATTGGACTGTGCTATTTCTTCAAGTAAACATTAATACTTGTTCAACTCTGTGTGACTGTATATTTCATCATAACTGTTTTCATAAACCGTTTTCCATGTGCATATCCTTTTTATACAATGATTACTATGCACATATCCTAACACCCCCCTTCACCCAGCCAGAGGTTGGATGGAGCTGGCTTGGGCCTGGCTTCCCCAAGATCCCCCAGTAGGAAGGGGGGCAGAAGGAGGGCCCAGAACTCCTGGGGCTCCTCCTGAGGGCCCCAGACCCCCAGCCCCTCCTGAGAAGGCCCCTCACCTTTGTAACTGTCCACAATCCGCCTTACAGAAGCGTTTTTCTCCAAGAGAGTCTGGAGTCTGCCTTGCAGCCTGGGAGAGGCGCTCTCTACGTGCCCTAGCAGGTAACTCTGGCACCTGTGACACAAGGAAGGCGGCCTCATGCAGCTAACCAGCTGTCTCCCCACAAAACAGGGGGGCTGGGTGAGGGCTGGGTTGGCCGTGGTGTGTGTGAAACAAGCCAGTCCTTTCCAGCATTTTGCCAATTGAATACAGGACTCGGGTTTTGCAAACCTGAGTTCAGGATGTGGCCTGAATCCTGGCATGCTTCTTATGCAAACATTGTTTGTTGCTTTGATCGCAACTGACTCTGCGCACCGAACTGGTGTAGAGGTCAGTGGAGAAGTGAGGAAAGTCATGAACTCAACACAAACGTCAATGTGATTCTGATCTGAAGGTCCTTGGGGCTCGGCTGTTTTCTTGCAGACCTTTCATTACCCAACTGAGCAACATCATCAGTGCCAGAAGGGAGTGCGGTTTGCTCTCCTTTCACACAGAGGTAACCCTCAACTGTTCGTTTGTGAATGTTTAAAATTACGGCAGTGAAAAAAGTGCCCTCCGGCCATTTTGCAGTTTCGACCTTTGCAACATCCCCATGGCCACGGGATCCAAATGCAGATGCTTGGCGACTGGCTCACACTTATGACCATTGCTGGATCCCAAGGTCATGTGGCCGTCGGACAAGCAAAGTCCATGGGGAAGCTAGATTCACTTAACAACCAGCTAACTAACCTATCAACGGCTGTGATACGCTTAGCAAGTGTAGCAAGAAAGGTCGTAAAAACTCAGTTAACTGTCTCACTTAGTAACAGAAATCTTGGCTTCAGCTGTGGTCATGAGGTCGAGGACTGCCTGCACTCCTGGCTTGCCCTGACAGTATTGCTGTGGCGGTTGTTCTCTCCTTGGGGGCTCCCTGGTTAGACTGCTTTTTGCTGTTGGACTATCAGTCGGCGTTGGTGGTGCCTCACCTGTGCTGTTTACAACACCTGAGCAACCACTGAGCCTTGTATATCAAAGGGGAGAGAGCCCCACTCCCTCCCAGCACTGATGGTGTTACCAAGTCAGTGTTGTGGCCCGCTGGCAGTTGCCCAAGCTGGCAACACAGTTGGACAGTAGTCAGGAAGTTGGGAAGGAACCTGGGACAGTTTTGGAGGCTGAGGAAGGTTCGGATGAGGGCTCTGCGTCAGAGGCTGAGATGGGGCCAGGGCAGACTGGCAGTCATCAGCTGCCTTCAGGCTTGGACAGCACTGAGGTGGGGGAGCTTCTGGAACTGGTCCCCAGCCTGCACATGCACAGAGCTGCCAAAAGGAAGGAACAATTACAAACTCAGGGTCAATGTGGGAGTAAGGCCACAGGTAGACGACGAATGCCCCCTCCCATCAGGATTAAAAGAGAAGCAAAAGGGGAGGGGGCTTTTGCAGGAAACAAATCACTCGCTCATTTGTTTGAGCCTTGTGGAAATTTGTCTGTATAACCCAACCCTTCCCTGTCAGCACTGAGGGTGGAACTATTTACAAGGCAGCATTCCAGGATTGAGAAGGCCTCAGCTAATTAGCATACCTTTGCAAGACACTTTGCCAAGCTGTTGGCTGACTGTAAATGAAATAAATTTATATTAATGTAGTAAAAGAGCTTTTGCCAGGATCCAGAATTGACTTAGTGCTTTTTGGGGAGGCCTAGGTCAGAACAGTCAGGTAATGAAATGTCTGCTGGAAGTCAGTCGAGCTCTGAGAGTACCAAAGATCCCACAACCAGTATCTCTCGGCCACAGAATTCGAAAGGATGCAGCCGCACCAGAAATTCTGAGCACAAACCAACCCACAAAGACAGGTGAGGAAGAGCAAGATGACGCCAACCTGTCTATGGTGTCCTGGATGTCCTGAAAGAGGAGAAGAGAGAAATGGGTGCCGGCCTTCACAAGGGTGCCAGTCAACCCTCCCCCTGGGAAACCTCTGCTTTCCCCCCTTGAAGCCAGTGAGGGTCCCCCCCACCTGCAAGAATTCCCCGTCTGGCTGGTGGTACTTTCTCTTCGCCTGGTCCATCAGCTGCTGCAGGCCGGAGGCTTCCCCGGAGAGCTGGGCCAGGGCGACCCCCCACTCGGCCTCCATCTTCTCCTCCTGTTTGGCTAGCCAGCCCAGCCAGACCGGCTGACTCTCCCGGAGCAGCTCCTGCAGGGACTCCAGCGCCAGGCCCACCTGCTGCTTTTCAGTGGCAAATTGCTCCTGGGGGGCAGAAAACGGGGGACTCAGATGGAGATTTCCCAGCCGCAGAATCAGAGTCCCTGGGGGGCTGCCTCCTGCCCCCTCCCCAAGAGACCCACCTGGCATTCCTGCCGGCTCTGCTCCACGGTCTGCCTCTGATGCAGCAGCGTCTGCTTCTCCTTCCTAAGGGATTCCAGGAGGCCATCCAGCAAGTCCTGCACGCAGAGGAGAGGGTGCTATTCCTGGGTCCCAAATGGCAGCGCTCCCACCCAGAGGGGGCCACAGGGATCATGGGGCCACACTCAAGGAGAGGCCCTGCTGGAGGATCCCAGGGACAGGCAGGGGCCCACAAGGAGTCGAGCAACTGAGAGTTGGTCTCCCCCATCTTCTCTTCTCTCGCTGCCCAAAAAGAGCCCGGTTCTCCTCCGCCATTTTTTAACTTGGTAGCCTTTGTGGGCCTCTCACTGCTGCCTGGAAGCTTTTCCCATCTTTCGGGGACTTTGGGTGACTCCTGTGCCTGTCCCCCCAAAGAGCTGATGGAGTGCCCCAGGGAGTTGGTGCCTACCTTGTACTCCTGGGCAGCCTCGGGCAGAGAGAGGAGAGGGTGGCCCTGGTGCTTCCCCAGGCAGCCGGGGCAGAGGAGGCTCTTCTCGCTGGAGCAGAAGATCTGCAGAGGCTGCCTGTGTTGCTGGCACAGCTGTTGGCCGCTGCTCTCCTCCTGGGCTCCCTCTGGCAGCCGAAGCCTCTTCACCAGACAAACCATATTGGCCAGGGACCAGTTGGGGCAGGCGCTGCTGGGCTCCACCTTGGCTCTGCACTGGGGGCAGGAAGCCTCAGCACCCACCTGGGCCAGGCAGTCGCGGCAGAAGCTGTGCCCACAGGAGAGGCCCATCGGCTGCTTGAAGAAGTCCAGGCAGAGCGGGCAGGTGGCCTCCTGGTTCAGCTCCCTCAAGGCCGTCTTTTCGCCTGAGGTTGCCATGGGGCTTTTCAGTCCCTCTTCCCCCTTTGCTGAACCTGGAAGTGAAAGCTGTTCATTGGCTCCTTCTTGGGAGGTGCATTTCTCAGCCCCTCCCCCAGGGAATAGAGTGCTCTGAAGCCCTCCTCCAATTAAATGGCTTCTTGCAAAAGAGGGGGTTGCCCAGTAGCCACAGAAGAGGGCAAAGGAAGCCCCCTCAGGGTCTGGGGCAGCCTCTTTGGGCATCCATCCCATCTCTTCAGTTCCCTCAAGCTCAGCCTGGCCAGACTTCCGGCTGACATCATGACAAGACCACAAGCAGTGAACGAAGGTCTCCGTTCCTGCGCTGGCTTCTCACCGTTTGTGGGCTCCTAACGGAGCCAAAAGCCGCCTTGGAGGGGCGGCGAAGCTAAGGAGAAGTGCTTGGTGAGGTTCTGGGGGAGAACGCAACTCCCCTGTAAAAACCCCAAACTTGTTCTCTATGCCACGATGGAGAGAAGAGCAGGCCAAGATGGATGCTACAAAGTTGGGACAGCCGAAGAACATCTAAGCCCAGCGCTGGAGTGGAGACTGGGAACAGTGTTCGGAGAAGGGTGAGAAGAATCTATATTATTTTTAACTACCCCAAAAACTATAACAGAAAAGAATAAAGAATTGTGCTAGCAGTGGATAGAAGAAGAATTTGGAAATATAAAGAGCTTTAAAGTTTTTTTAAAAACTTAAAATTTGAAAATGAATTAATCTAAAAGAACATTAATTTGGAATTGGCAATCAGGCAAGATTTGGCATTAAAAGGCATTAATCTGAATGCTGGAAGTAATTGTTCTATAGAGGAGTAATATTTGGTTTTTGAAATTGGTGAAGCTAAATAAAGAAACGGAAAAAGAGTGGCTGTGGAACAGGATTAAAAGCGCCACTTGCTGATGAAAGAAAAATCCTGTAGAACCCTTTCAACTAACAACTTTATTAAAAGAAGTAATTTAAAAAAGGAATAAAAGACATTATAATAAGACCCCTGGAAGTTGGAATATATTATAATCAAAGAGTAAGAATATAGGAGGATACTACCTCTGGAATTATTGGTGTTTTGGACTGATTAACATTGGAAATAAAGATTTGATGACATTGATATTTTAAAACAAAGAAGAGACACTGTTCAAATAAAATAAAATAAACTGGATACTGGACAACTGGAATAATAAGCAATATAAAGATGAGTGAAATATAAAAGAAATAAGAATGGACATTCGAGCTATGAATGTGGGACAGAATGTTGGATTTGTGCACTAAAATACAGAATACAGAAGAAAATTCACAGCAGTAGAAGGAGAAAGAACAAAGGAGGAGGAGTCAGAAGAAAGAGGAACCAGTGAAAATGGAACAAATGCAAAAGAAAAAGGAAGAAGTTGAACATGAAATATCAATGATAGACATAATAAATGAGGGGATATTGAGATTGAAACACTGATAAATGAAATGGTTAGGGAAATACAGAGAGATCAAAGGAGGGTGGGGGCAAAATTTGATAAAAGGGAGAGAAAATATAAGAAAATTATGACAGAGGAAGGACTAAAGGAAAAAGCCACAAGATGATAGTAAATGGCAGGCAAGCTAAGGAGGTAACATAAAAGACTTAGAGATAATGGCTAGGAATGGAAAAGAGGGAGACTCCACATGAAGAGATATATTTGTAATAAACATATATAATAGATTTTGAGGAAATGGGAGTAAGAAGTAGAACAAGAGGAATAATTTTAATGAAAACAAGAATCTATAACAAATTAATCAAATAAAATAGAAATGTTTACGTAAGATATAAATGATCAATAGTTAAGATATGAAAAGAAATGTTATGTGGAGCCTGACTGAGAATTGATATAACTATATAGTAGGATAATATTTTAATGAATTATATATTTTGTTATTCATGTACACTGCTCAAAAAAATAAAGGGAA